TCAGTCGTTGCACAAAGCACTCCAAGGACTTTTTGACCCTGACTCGCAATGTCTTGCATCGATGTGCCCAGGTTCTTTTTTTTTTTTGTGTGTGTTTAGCTTGTACCTCGCCTGCCGGCCTGGCAAGCACATGCCGCTGGACTGGACTGTGTTTTGTCGTATTCTGGACCGTTACATTTTGGGAACCAGTTGCCGACGGAGTGGTGTGGCAAGGTTTTGGTTTCGATGAAACAGCAGTCTCCGCTTGCACGACAATGCACGTGCAACTGCAAGCTGCCGAAGTTTCCCTCACGTGCAAGCGAACATGATTGCACCACAGAGGCATCAGCCAGGATGCTTGCAATCCATTCCTTTACATTTGCTTGCTTTTGACGAAAATCTGGCACATCGGGAACCAGTAAAACGGTGGCAAGCGGTTTTTTGGAATTGCTCGGCAATGCCTACAGCACTGTACACTTGTGGGATATCTGAATGTCTCTTAAGAGACATTAAAAGTGGACATTCATTACTTGCCAAAGGCAAACCGAGGCTTTCAGCAGCTTTGCAGAAAGTTTCGAAAAGCAAAAGGAAAAGCACCCGCTAGTCGTACTGGACCTTTTTCTTGTGTACAGTTTCGCATTGTGCTGCAATAGTTACGTGTCTCATCAGTCAGAGACTGCTTCCCTTTATTATATTATATAAATACTCTAGTCAACTTTTTGCTTTGATATTTACTACTACTATGCTGGTCATTTTCAAATAAATATAATATGTGCCGTATGGTTCTTATTTATCTATAGCGGGTACATATACATATATCATTTAACTGAAGCATTGCAAAATGTGTCATGTCATTGGCATTTAATTTTTTTTATTGCAGCGAGCAAAGTGCCCTTCATTTATCCAGCACTTAAAACAAATATTTTTATTTTTCTAAGAATATCTGCACCAAAAGCCACTTTTCGCTGCTCCGAAACACTGTTTTGGCTGCTCCAAAAGGTGCTCCAAAACGGCTTAGGCCAATCACATCACTGAATGATGTTAGTGTGGTGGTTTAGGGTTCTTGTATATAAGCTCCAATGAGCGCGTTCAGTAGCGGCTCCCTCAGCTCCGAACGGAGTAACTCGAGTTGGAGTCCTCGAAGCGCCTATTGAACGACAAAAAAAACGTGGCTCCTCAGTTGCTTCTACGCAATTTCCGCTTCCTCCCCTGCCAGATGGTTTCCGAATAAAATGGAAGCAGACGATGCCGAGCACGATCGCTTTTATTTGACGCCGGTATCGAAGGAGTCTTGACAAGGTCGTTCAAGAAAAAGCGAGTGACTGTACACATCAGCGCTGCTGTTTGAAGCGATCCAACGCCATCGAGCCCTTCGCAAGGCAGTGCAAAGGCTGCTTTTGTTATAAAAACTGAGAAAAACGTCGTCAGCACACCCAAAATATGGAGCTCAGCAAATCTCTGCCGCCGGTTGCGATACTTTGATACGGCCATGCGTTTGTTCTGCCCTTCGTTACGAACTTCCTATAAAATGTATTTGTATACACACGGGAAGTTTGGCCGCACTCGGCAATCAAGGTTTTGTCGGCCGAAGCGAACGTCAGCCAACGTACACCCCGGTTTAGCTACGCAAACAAACCATTAATCGGTGTCATGCTCTGCGTGGGTGTCCAACCGGCTACCAAAGTCGCGTGCATACCCTGCCTTGCTCTGTTCAGCGCGGACGGGACTATCGTCGATATTCACCGAGTTTCCGTGCAACAAACGGCGATCAAGACACAGCTACAAATGAACCATTTACATTGTTTGTTAGCATATTTAAACCAAACAAAATACGGTCCAATGCATTTTCTGACGCGTTATTTGTCTTACCTTGAGCACTTGGGGGGATCGGTGGCCGAGTGGTCTAGCGCACACCAGCTCGGAGCACGTGGAGCAAAAGCTCGCGCTGCAGAACCCAGGGATCCTGGGTTTGAGCCCCACCCCTGCCCGTTTCGATCTGGATGAGCATCGTACCGGCGTGCGGTCGTGTATCACTACTGCGTGATGCACGTTAAAGACCCCAGGCTGGCGGCTGTACCGCACTGGCTAAATTTCTCATCTACAGCTGGGAGACTCGTCGCCCCTGTGAGGCAGACCAAGTTCTAGGCTGTATAAACACACACACAACCCAATTTTTTTTTTTTTTCTTGAGCACTTTTCATTAACAAATGCAAGCAAACTGCACACCCACGACAAAACCAACGCACCAATGCAGCTTATCCTGCCATTTTTTTTTTCTTTTAGCTTTGGAATTTTTTCAGCGATCCGGAATTATGTCATGCTGCGCTCCTTTCACTCCTCATGCACCGTCTCCAGAGACGGTGCATAAGAGCCTGACTCCAAAAACTTGGGAGTAACACACACCGAAAGTCGGTTTTGCCGTCTAGTGGAAGGAGCGCTGACTCCTGGCGCCGCTACTGAACGCGCCCATTTGGGGCAGAGTTGTTCATTCATCCATCTTGAAGTCCAAAGTTATGTGGGGAAATCACTCTCCACGCATGCAGGTGCCATGCTTCGACAAATGCTGCTGGCACTTTGAGCTCATTCTTTTCATCATCATTTTAACGACCACGTCGCACTTGATTATGTACTTGCAGGAAATATTTCGCCGAAGTACTATTTAGAATATGAGCCATGCAGCACGACACGCAAAGAAACTTTCAAGTAGGTATACTTTTTGGCGACAAATTTAGTTTCATGAACAAGCACGTCCATGCATCGTTGGTTTCGGGCTCTTTATGCCAATTAATTATCACAAAGTTTTTATCGCAGTATCCATACTAATTCCGCCTGCAGGTATCAAATGTAGGGGTGCGACATTGAGCATATTGAATGCTAGCAAATTTGCAATTTAGTGTTAACAATGAACTGTGATTCGAATATATAAAAACGTGTTACTGGTCATCTACTTTTAAAAAAAGTTTAGTGCCGGCAATCCGGTACTTAAAAAAAAAAAACGTTGGTTGCCTATTTTATTTTACTAAAGAATCGGTGAAATTATGAACGCTTAGAAAAAAGCTTTCCCACCAGTAAAACATATTTGGTGCAATAAATTAATTGAGATACCATGGTTCTATAATGTAATGGCACTCATTTCCCTCATACTAGAACTTGACTTTTTGTATGTGGCAGAGTTATCTTTTTCCGCTAAAAAATCAATGTGGTTGGTTTCGTAATGGGATTAGAAAGTACCTGAAACAGTGATTTACCTTCGCAATTTAGTTGCAACTCTGATAATTATGGCATACATGCCCAAAAATATTTCATTGTCTAGAAATAAGGCAGAAAATAAATACATGTACTCATGATCATACATTTATTAATATGCTGCTAAACAAAGGTCACAGGCTAAGAACGCAGTTTTGGCAAAAAAACTCTTGTTCCATGAACCCTTGCACGGCAAGTGTCTTTTAAGTTGCTTGCTCGCTCGCTCCTTTGACTTTGAAAACACGAGGCACAGTGTGTGGCTATTTTTATTTTTAATAAATTATTATCATATTAGCAGTTTACAGAATTTTGATGCGAAATTCTGAGGACGTTAGGTATGAATATTCATTAACTATAAGAATCGTGCAACGAAATTTTGTTTATCTTGTACAGGTTATGTTAACAACATTTTTTGCAACGCTCCAAAGTGTACTGATCGCAGAAACAATTTTAAATATGAAGAAACATCCAGCATCAAGTAGGGTTTGATGCAGAAGGTCCCTCAATTCTTTCTAATTGAAAAAAGAATGATGGACAAAAAATAGATGAGGAGAGAAGTGGAAACATGACGAGTAAACGAAGATCACACTTTCACTCTCCAGCCTAAAAAAAAAAGGTATATCTTACAGTTCCCTTTTTATGCTCTGATGTACCTTAGTAGAATAGTCTGTTTGGTGCCGAGATAAGCATTTTGGACAGTACTAACGAACTCAAAAACATTCTTTATTGCTTTGCAGTAGTTTATATCCCTACATACTGAAGGCATTCCAGAACTGCATTTTCCGCTAGCTGTGTAAAAAATTTCTTAGTACAGTGGCACAATTTTGGTACGATAGCATCAAAGTCCCATATGTTGAGTGTTTATTAGTTGCACACTCTAATGAATTTAGTCGTTACAAACATGAGTGTCTTCAACGAATTTCTAAGTTCAATTCAAATTCCACTTGTCAGTAAAAACCAGGGCTAAACAGTATCGCGATACAAACGTATTGTGATAGTATCTTAGATACTTTTGAGTATCTGTATCTCTGTATCAAGATACATTTGTAAAATGTATTTGTATCTCACGAGTGAAATACATTTACAATGTATCACTTCTATCGTAATACTTTGCCCGACTTAGGCATCTCATTACATTTGTTGCCCTTTTTAAGATAAATTTAAAGGATAAAAACATGTTTGGTGCAGCTTGCTTCGAAATTTATAATATGAACCTGCACTAAAACTTAATCCATCTCAATCACCAACAATAAGAAAAATAAAATTGCGGTTTAAAGAAGGTTACTTGCAAGGAACACAAAATCAGCTCCTTTCACAAAGCCCTCCACTCTTTCCAATTTAGCGGAATGAACGCTGTAAAGAAGTTGGGTGGAGAAAAAGTATGGCCCTGTTGTCCAATCTCCCTACACTATGGGTGACTCAGAGGCTCATAATGTGACAGTTTGAGATGCACCCTTACGGCAAAACTGGGTTCATTTCGGGCAGACGCCTTTTGTCAAGCAGAGTACGCAGTCTTTACCGTTCTGTAACTGTGTGGTTCAACGGGGGTGACATGTTTTTTTACCAGAATCAATGATAGATAAAGAGTTTGAGGTAATGAGCAGTGCATAAAATGGCACAAAAAGAGGAGCACAAGCATAAATTGCCTTTCGCATTCGCCATGAATGGCACCCTCTCTACGTAGCACCGTTCGGGAACAAATGTATTTCTATAAGTATCTGTATCTGTATTCCGGAAACTTTTTCGCCGTTATTGCGGAAGTATCTCAGGGATATCCCGTTGCATAAAAGGCAAATGTATCTCAGTATCTATATTTTGGCCTTAAAAAACATGTATCTCAGAATTTGTATTCCCAAATACTTTTTGGAGTATCTCTGTCCAGGCCTGGTAAAAACATGTTAGCACTAATTGCGAGCAGTGTGATTATTTTGTGTAAAGCAAGGTTGATTTTGCTCCTTCCAAAGCAAAGATGAGTGCAAACAATCTTCCAGTGACAAGCGGCCGCCTGTGCCAAGTGCTCCTATGACAAGATGACCTCGATCGAGAAGGCCGTTGTGACCAGCTGTAACAAGTTTTCCGGTGACGAGTTGGATTCTGATGAGTGGCCTGGTTCCAGGGGAAGACAAATAAGCAACTCAGGCTCCCTTCCTGGGAGCCAATCTAGGATGTCTAGTCCGAGCCATGTGTAAGGCTATGACAACCAGCTGCAACGATAGGCTCTGTGCAGTTTGCATTTCAACTTCGTAACTCTTTAACACTGATCTATCAATTGTTGGACCGTACATTCGGGAACTGCAACATCTGCCTTCTCCCCTGCTTGCATAAGACCAGGTGCAAAGATGCGGAGGTGGCATCCTCCAAAGTTGATGTCACTCCATTGCAGACTATACCAGCTGTTTCTGCAAACGCTTTTGAAAGTTCGTAGGAACTTTCAAAAGCGTTTGCAGAAACAACTTAAGAGTTAAAAGAAATAAACTCTTTTCGGGAACAAACTGCCGACCATGGGGTAGGTCGAAGATTGCAGAAAAGAACCACAAATTAGTGAAAATGAACGCATAGTCCTGACTAGAAACTTGCTGAGCGTCGTTACAAACTCAGATTAGTCAATTATAGGAAGGTAAAGCATATGCAAACTGTGGGGATGTGCTGAAGTTCCCACTCACGAAACAGGAGGAAGGCTGGCAATGTGGAAATGCCGATGATAACAAAATCATTAGTGTTTTTGCATCGCCAACCTTCCGCCTGCTGAACGAGTGGAAGCTTAAACAGGTTTTTTTGATGAGTCTTAACAAATTTCCTAATCAAACCGTGTTTATTTTTACTAATTAACAATTTAGCGCACTTTGGTATTTAATTTGCTAATTGCCAAAAATACCGGAGAGGTGCTCACTTCGTTCCAGTGCCAACCATTAACATTTCCCAAACTTCGGAATTTAGAAATTATACGATAACCGCCCGATTGGACCGGACAAGTGCCCATTTGCCTTAACCATACCTCGGCAAACCTCACTCATGAGGGCCCTCACTCACCCTCACTCACCCTCATCTTCACAGGTGAGGTAAGGGTGAGTGAGTTTCTGAACCAGGAAAATTCATGAGTGTGAGGGTGAGTGAGGACCAAAGGGCGGTGAGGGCCGTGAGGGCCATGAGGGCGGTGAGGGCGGTAAGGGGTATGAGGGCCATGAGTGCGTGAGGGCGGTGAGTGGCGTGAGGGCCATGAATGCGTGAGTGGTGTGAGGGCGGTGAGTGCATGAGGGGTGTGAGGGCCGTGAGGGCAGTGAATGGCATGAGACGCGTGAGGGCGGTGAGTACATGAGGTGGTGTGAGAGCCATGAGTGCGTGAGGGCGGTGAGTGCGTGAGGCCTCTTTCAGATCGAGCATCTTTCTCAGCAATTTTGGTGGTATGGCGGGTTGTTGTCTAGCTTTCCCTAGATCGACACGAATTCTTGAGATCGGGTCCGGCTCGAAATAAGCAAGCAACTTGGAGCAATTCGAATGCGTTTGAAGCGGCTGCATCCAATCAGGGACGCAAAATTTTCACGTGATACCTCGTGCCGGTGATGATGACACCGAAAGACTTGGTTCTGGTTTGAAATCAATCGTTTTTTTGGAAATAAACTGTTTCAAAAAGGTGCATTAGTATTCTTAACGAGATTTAAATGCATAAAAACACGTTTATAACGCGTAATTGTGTCTAAATAGTGCAAGAAAAATAAAATTTTAAGATGACGATGGCAAATTGCAGCAATTGGTTGCTGCGTGTGATCGCGGGCGGCCCGTGTTGCTGGTGTTGCGACGTAAAGTTTCTGGGCGAATGTGCCCCATCTGAAGCTGGCCTGAGTGGCGTGAGGGCCATCAGTGCGTCAGGGGTGTGAGGGCCGCAAGGGCGGTGAGGCCTGAGGGCGGTGAGTGGCGTGAGTGCGGTGAGTGGCGTGAGGGCGGTGAGTGGCGCGAGGGCCGTGAGGGCGGTGAGTGGCGTGAGGGCTATGAGTGCGTGAGGGCCGTGAGGGTCGTGAGGGCGGTGAGTGGCGTGAGGGCCATGAGTGAGTGAGGGCCGTGAGGGGCGGTGAGTGCGTGAGGGCCGTGAGGTTCAGTGAGGGTGAGTGAAGGGCTGAAGGTGAGTGTGACTGTGAGGGTGAGGGTGAGTGAGGGGCTGAAGGTGAGTGTAGCTGTGAGGGTGAGGGTGAGTGAGGGGCTTAGATGAGTGTGGCTGTGAGGGTGAGTAAGGGCGACCTAAAATGCCGACCTCTGGCCGTAACTGACATTTGCCGTAACTGCCAGCTTGTTCCCGAAAATATATTTTTTCAACAACCCAGTTTAAAGGAATATTTGAAACTTCTCAATGTGCGAATACTCGTAATGTTAAGCATTAAGCAACACCCGAAACGTTTTTTGGAAAGAGGAACATGGCGGCCTTCCTGTATGGGTGTATTCGAAGGTCCCAAAGCTCCCAGTTCGATCTACCTAGAAAAACTAAGCGCTGACTATTAAACAAATTAGCAAATTTATAGGGAAAACTAATAGGTTCCAGCATCATTGTTATCTCAGATTTTATCTTTTGCAAGTCTCCCCTTTAACTGATAGGAATTTTACTGTAATGGCAATTCGACAGAAAGCAAGAAAACGGATTGTGTTAAGATACACAAACGACCACCCATTGCTAGGCACACAGCATTTCATTTTCTCTTCCATTTGTCACTGTTATCTCAAAATGGCAAAATTGTGGGTGTGTCTCTTTTGTGTTATCCTCATAGCTGTCTACCTAGCCTGATGTGCTTGGAGGGTGTGCCTACTTTGTTCTTAATTACGGTGATTGCTTTCTACAGTTGGTCCTAGTCATCTCAAGTCCCTCCTTCGTGATCGTCCATGCCTACTTTCAAACCTGATCGCAGCCAGCAATTCTAATGGAACCGATCCAGTTCTTAAGTCTTGGTAAGTTCTTCGTTTCCACCTCTTTCATAACGGGAGTACAGTGGCTGTGTCTAGACTACAGGTGGTCATAGCCCAAAGCAGCACTTCTTGTACAGCTGTATACGGATTCCTACCAATCCATGCTGATGCGGAGATCCTCCACCTGGGACGCTCAGATGAAAATGTGCAGAGAAATATGGATTATGCTTTTCAAGGAGGGAAGCAAGCATTAGGATTGATGTTTAGGGAAAGCTTGTGGCACTGGGAAAAGAGTGTGAGGCAAGGTTAATTTGGAGTTCCTATATGCGGGAAGATGAAGACGAGATAGAGGAAGCGGGCTTTCTGCAAGGTACTAGGATAAAATTGGTAAACAATGAACAGTGTAGAATGTCAGCCATTGCTTCCCAATTTTTTTAATTGCAAAACATGCCACAAAGTTTTATTGGAAATCTATAATTTGTGCGAACATTAGAGAAAACATTCCTATTCTTGGCCATCTGATGCGTCCATTTAGTAGCTGTTGAGCATGTCATACTCTTGAAAACATTCAAGAAGGTAGGGAGCAACATCTAAAAGCCAGGTGAATGTTTTTTGTTTTTTTAGTTTTCGTGCGAATTATGGTTTCAAATAGACTGTTCAAGGTATCAGAGGGGGGATTGCAAACGCTTGCAAACTGAAGTCCTTGAGTATTTCTTCGGCTAAAAACATGCGCATTGAGGCCATGCCACCTTTTTTTTACGTTGCTCACATCTAATTTTTTTCCGGGTTTTTTGTGTGTGTGCGTGTGCGTGTGTGTATGGGGGGGTCAGGGGGTCGGCAGTTTGATAAATATAAAACAAACTACAAAAACCCTAAATGCTGCCATCTGTTGGAAAGTGAACAAATAAGCTCCCAAACGGAAACATTAGCCAGACTTGTGGTTCATTGTGGCCCATAATGGAAAGCACGAAAGAAACTCCTATTACCAAACTACTGTGCGCAAAAATTAAGATGGAGAAAGGAGAACTTTTTATCAGTTCAAAATGAAATTGTCTATCGTCTGAGGTAAAGACGGGCGTACTGCAGACCATGAGTTATAGGTAGCGATATGAGGAGACACTGGGTACAGGCAAAGGTAACAGCAGAGCATGTAAGTATGGGAGTCCGGTACATACCTAAATCGAGGTGGACTTTTGTATTGCTTTGGGATGGGAGGGGCTGATGAAGGAATAGGGGATCTCCAAATGGTTAAGCAAACTAAGAGAAGGCTGGAAGTATAGTGGGAAAAGCTAAAGAAGGCCATTGGAAGTAAAGAAAAAAAAACAAGGAGGAAGTTTAGTTATTCTTTGTGCAGAGTTCCTCAAGGGTTCGCTTGAATCAAAGTGCCATGCCCCAACTCATCCAGAATAAAAAATATTGTTGAGCCGAGAATCTTTCCATCCAAATTTCATGCAATGCTATCTGTCTGGTTCCGGAAGGCTGCCTTCCATTTCCAGCTGTTTTCCTCTGAGACTAGCAAAATCTATAGGTAGCACTGACCACATGATAATGGTAACCTTTTCCCAAGGGACAACAGTAAACTACCACTGTGGGACAATGGCCATTGTGTAAAGAAAGACAAAGCTTGCCACCTTCTAGGAGGAATGGACCAAAGTGATTCCAAGTTAATTGGCATTTGTAAGGATTGAAGTGAAGCAAATCTGTGTTACGCATGAGTGGCACTTCAGTGCATTACCGTGTGGACCCAACAATGGGTAGAAGGGCGTGGACCATCGCAGTTTATTTTTATGCACTGGCACCATATATGTAACCTAACTGGGGTTCTGCTTTCTGGAAGTTCATTTTATGGCTAAATTAAAGGGTGTTATACCTACCTAAGCCACATACCTAAGCTTGCCTGGGTATGGGAGGATTTGATGAAGCAATAGGAGATCTCCAAAAGGTTGGATCAAACTAATAAATGCTGGAACAGGAGGAAGTTTAGTTATACTTTAGGCAAAGTTGCTCAAGCGACCGTTCAAATCAAGTGCCTTGACCTAATTTATCCATCCATCCAGAATTTGAAAAATTGTTAAGCCATGTATCTTTACATTTAAATTTTAGACAGTGCCGTCTTGCTGGTTTCAAAAGGCTGCCTCCCATTTCCAGCTGTTTTCTTCTGAGACTGGCAAGAACTCTGGGTACCACTCGCCGAATGATAATGCCAACCGTCACCTTAGGGACAACATTACACTGCCATCTTGGGATGGTGGCCACTGCAATAAAAGGGCAGAGCTTGCCGCATGGGCCAAAAGGGTTCCCACTTTATTCGCGTGCATGGTGCTCAAAGTGCTACTCATGAGTGGCACTTCACTGCATCACCTTGTGGACCTAAGTTTGGTGTAGAAGGGCTCAGAGCATCATAAAGTTCATTTTTACCTGCAGTCAGCAGATACGTGACCATATATCAGTGTTAGCAAAATTCAGTTTCTTTATTAGGTTTTGCCACTATATGGGGATCACCGCATCTGCAAATATATTAGAACAAATTTTTCTTAGACATCACGTTGTAGTAAACAATGTTGAAAATAAGTGCATATACACTTAGTTGAGCCATTGGCAGTAACCTGCAAAGTATGTTGCTTGCTTGTTTACGGGGTTCGTTGCTTTGATGAGTCAAGGCAGCCTAGACAATCTAATGATCAGGAAAGGGGCAGTGGCGATCGTAAAGGCGCAGCTAGCCAGAAGCTTGTTTACGGTAGATCCTGCAACGATATCGACACGACGTGAGTGGTAGTGTGTCAGGGCTGTGGATCCCCCAATATTATGCTTTTGGAGTGACGTGGGAATGAATGAACTGAACGTGTTTTTATATCCTTTAAGGCCATGAGCTAAGCTATTCAAATCCTGCACAATGTTTTGGGGCAGTTAAATTAAACTAAATTTTGTTTGTAGGGTCCTAGTTTTCTTTGGGAAATTGTTGTATTCATCAAATGTGAATATGTTAATCCTCACTAATGGCCCCTTGCACTCTTTATAGGGAATACAAGTGGGCTATTTTAGAATATTGACAGTAGTCTTTGTCATCTAATTTTATTCTTTGTCTAATAAGTGGTGCCTTCTCTGGCACACGCAGCATCAAACAAAAGTGTTACCATTTTGAATATTTTTATTTTAATAGACTAGGAGTTAAAAAAAGATTTTTTGCGGTTATCTAGTAAAATAACTACAGGTATCTAACAAGAGTAATGCTATATGCACTCCGGAGTGCAGCTCGGCCGGAAATTGCTATATGCACTACATATGTCTCGTATAAAATGAATGATCACAACGAGTTTTCCAACCGGTGGCATAGCGTTGGGGTTAGGGTGTCCGCTTCGTATGCAAGTGGACGCGTGTTCAAATCGCGGTAAGCCTACCCTTTTTTTTTTTTTTCTCTTTTTTTCTTGAACGTTGTTTTGTCGAGGCATTTGGCGATATTTATATTTCTTTTTTGCGATGAACACTAAAAAAAAAAAAAAAAAACACCGAATGTTGTCGACGAAACTTCGCAGATCGGGGACAGCGGGGCTTGGGTTGCCGGCTGGACGCCGCGGAGCGGCGTGTACTGGTTAACTTTTCTAATTAGCAGCCGCATACTGTCGCCGCGAAGCGGCGTGAACGCAGGCGGGGGGCTGTGTTAACGAGCTCCCCAGTGATACACGCGCAGTTCGAAAATTGGTGGCCCGAGCGGCATGAGCTCTCCCCGTAGTGCATATAGCAATTTCCGTCCAAAGTGCACTACGTAGTGCATATAGCATCGCTCATCTAACAAACTAATATAAAGCACTTAAGTTAGCGAAAAACATAAGTACATTGCACATCTCTAAAGGAAAGTGCTGCTCAGCAAGATATATTTTCGTGCGACTTTCCTGTAGAGTCTATCTTCTTGTTATATTTCCTATCAAAAATCTGCTACTTCTCGTGACGAAGGCATTGGTAATTAAAACATCTGGTGTATCTGTGGTGGTATTTCGCTATAGAAAAGTTGACCAAGTTTTAAAGAAATATTTGTTTATTTTGACATCATCTTATGAATGATGAAATACATAGTATGTGTAGAAATTCAACATGAAGAACAATTTGTACTTTTTTCACTGAAATAAATGCAAAATAGTGGCGAGCTACAAAGTAAAGGGGGCAATTCTTAAATAGCGGCAGTTCCAACCAGGTGGTTCTAACCTTTTTGCTCCCTGTACTTTGGCAAAAATATGATGTTTCAACTTAGCTAAAATCTACACCCATGAACTTTCAATATAATAGAAGCCCCACCTAAACACAACTTTGTGAAAACTTTCATTGCAGCCAGTTCGATGGATTCTTTGTACAAATTTTCTTGTGCTGCTAAGCACATACCTTCCACATTATTATTTGACACTACCATGTGTATTTTTCTCTGGGCAAACAAGTAGGGTAGATCAATGGCAGGGTGCAATGATGTTAGTAGATTGGGCTAGGGTTTCTGTATATGAGCTCCCACGGGAGCAGAATTGTGCATTCATCCATTTTGAGATTCACTGTTATGCGCAAAAATCCACTCTTCCTATGTGTAGGAACTCTGCTTTCACAAATGTGGCTGCTGCTTTGAGCTCATTCTTTTCATTATCATTTTGACAAACACATCACACTTTATCATGTACTTGCAAAAAGTATTTCTCCAAATTGATATTTAGAAAATCACTCAGGCAACACGGCATGCAAAGAAACTTTCAAGTAGGTATACTTTTTGGCGACAAATTGCTTAGGGGTGAACGGAATAGTCAGGTTGGGTGTCGTGTGACATACTTTGCGGCTTTGAGTTCGAGTGACATGTTTGGGTACCGGGGATGTATCGCAGTGAAAAGGCAGAGATATCTCGAAAGAACAGGAGGTACAAAATAGTCTGCTATGTTTTCAGGTGTTTATACCAAAAAATAGGCTTTTGCCTTTCTACCTTTTTTAGCTTACAAAATGATATGCTATTAGTCATACGCCAATCTACATTTTTTTGTCCCAACCCAAAATTTGTTTAATTGAGTGCTTTGAACTGGCGTAGAAATGGCAAAAATGAAATTCAACCACTCAGCTGATGCAGAACTGCAATAATGGCTGCTTATTTCTAAAACATGTGGCTATTTTTGTTGTGCTTTCCTAGTGTGCCCTAATACACATGAGGCCTTGTAGGAGAGGGAGCTGCACTTTTGGGAGAGACCAGCTGCCCATTGAAAGCCACTGAGGACATCTGGTTCGGGTGCTGTTCCTGTACCTATGTCACCAGAGATCAGCGTGGGATTGTGAACCACCTGGTCGCCCATGGTGATGAACAGTTCAAGTACCAGCATCCTCCCATGTCACCTGCCTCTAGATCCCAAGCGTCCAGCAACACTGAAAAGCAGAAAAGTGATAGGTTGTTCAAGTGCACGCTATGCGCCCAAGCCTTTTCTAGGAGTTCTGGTCTGATCGTCCATAATCGAAGACATTCAGGTGAAAAGCCATTTAAGTGCAAGCTGTGCCCCAAAGCCTATTATCAGGGTTCCTGTCTGATCCGCCATAATCGAACACACTCAGGTGAAAAGCCATTTAAGTGCATGCTGTGCTTTCGAGCCTTTACTCAAAGTTCCAGTCTTATCTGCCATAATCAAACACACTCAAGTGAAAAGCCATTTAAGTGCAAGCTGTGTCCCCAAGCCTTTTCTCACAATTCCAGTCTGATCCGCCATAATCGAATACACTCGGGTGAAAAGCCATTTAAGTGCAAGCTGTGCCCCCAAGCCTTTTCTGAGAGTTCTGGTCTGATCCGCCATAATCGAACACACACAGGTGAAAAGCCATTTAAGTGCAAGCTGTGCCCCGAAGCTTTTTCTGAGGGTTCTGGTCTGATCCTCCATAATCGAACACATTCAGGTGAAAAGCCATTTAAGTGCAAGCTGTGCCCCAAAGCCTTTTCTAAGAATTCCAATCTGATCCGCCATAATCGAGACCACTCAGGTGAAAAGCCATTTAAGTGCACGCTATGCTCCCAAGTCTTTTCTCGGAATTCCAGTCTGATCCGCCATAATCGAACACACACAGGTGAAAAGACATTTAAGTGCAAGCTGTGCCCCGAAGCCTTTTTTGAGAGTTCTGGTCTGATTGTCCATAATCGAAAACATTCAGGTGAAAAGCCATATAAGTGCAAGCTGTGCCCCAAAGCCTTTTCTCAGAGTTCCAATCTGATCCGCCATAATCGAGACCACTCAGGTGAAAAGCCATTTAAGTGCAAGCTATGCCCCCAAGCCTTTTCTCGGAATTTCAGTCTGATCCAACATAATCGAACACACTAGAGCACTGCACGGGCCAGCCCGAAAGCCCGAGCCCGGCCCGGCCCGCGGGCCGGGCTCGGGCCGGGTAGGACGTATTTTCTCGGGCTCGGGCTTGAACAAGAAAGTTCTCGGGCCGCGCCGGCCCGGGCCGTGCCTGGGCAATCTTGTGCCGAAAATCACAAATTGTTGTTGATAGCAAGAAGTTTGCTCATTAATCTTTGAGGTTCATTGAATACAAAAAAAAAAGCGAAGTGCGAATTCTCTACAGCGTCGTTAAAAATAATAACTAAAAGACGTCTTGAAGCTAGAAAGCCTTCAAGCTTTTTCCGTGTGAGCGAGGGTTCAGTGTTATAAATTGTAAACAAAATAAAGTCCCAGTCATACGCTTGTGAACCTGTCTGATTCATCGCTCTCAGAAATATCTAGTTTACTATTAGGAAGATTTAGAAAAAACGTACGCAAGCGCTTTGGGTACCATAAAAATAGCGTTGCGATGTAAAACCTATGGAGATGCTAATTTTAGCTTGCCCAAAGTGCTTGAGTACGTTATTCTAAGACTCCCTTATTGCACAGAGCGCGACACTATATTAGCGCGAACAAGCGATTGTCGTGTTTTTATGTTTATCTCATAGAATCAAAAGGCTGTTTTCAAAACTATTAGTGTCTTTAGAAGTGCTCATTTGGGCCACAGACCTAAGCGGTATACTTTGGTGCTATACTAACACCATTTCGAAGTAAAATTCGAAAAAAAGAGCCGACGTCGTGTTCGCGGTATCAGTGTCGCGCAGTGTACATAGTCGGCTTCGCGCTTGCACGTTTTGGGAACCATCTTGAAAAAAAAACGTTTTAAGGGGTTTAGTAGGAATATTTTAAACTTAAGCTTACCTGAAAGGGTTGTATATTTTAAGAACGCGTTAACATGTAAAGCTACTTCAGAACATATTCTTAAACAGAAAAGGTGCGCAGACCAGGCTTAGAACGATGGAGACTTTTTGCGAAGAGGTTGCGATGTGCAGGGCCTTATAAAAGTAGGTTGAAACGGGACGCGTTCAAACGCAAATGGTGTTTCGGAAACTGGTTCAAATAAGAAGGGCGTTTAGGGAATGGGTCTAAACAGGACACATTCAAACGAGAAGGGCGTTTGGGGAACTGGTCGAAAAGGGACGGGTTCATATGAGAAGGGCGTTTAAAGAATGGGTCAAAACAGGACGGGTTCAAATGGGGAGCTCGTTTCGGGAACGGGTCGAAACGGGACGGGTTCAAACGGGAATGGGTTGTTTCGGGCTACAGCCATCGGGCCAGGTCGGGCGGGGCCTAGAAAATAAAAATTCTGTCTGGCTCGGGCCGGGCCCGGGCCGTGGCTCTTCCGGGCCGGGTCGGGCCGGGCCTAGAAATCAAAAATATTGTCGGGCTCGTGCCGGGCCCGGGCCGTGTCTCTACAGGGCCGGGTCGGGCCGGGCCCAGAAATTCCGCCCCGTGCAGTGCTCTAGAACACACACAGGTGAAAAGCCATTGAAGTTCAAGCTGTGCCCCGAAGCTTTTTCTGAGTTGTGGTCTGATCGTCCATAATCGAAGACATTCAGGTGAAAAGCCATTTAAGTGCAAGCTGTGCCCCAAAGCCTTTTCTTAGGGTTCCTGTCTGATCTGCCATAATCGAACACACTCAGGTAAAAAGCCATTTAAGTGCAAGGTATGCCCCCAAGCCTTTTCTCAAAGGCAATCTGATCTGCCATAATCGGACCCACACAGTTGAAAAACCATACAAGTGTAAGTTTTATCCTCAAGCGTTTGGTCTCTATTCTAAACCAGCCGCCACAACCAAACACACAGTAGAAAAAGCCATATAAGTACAGGCTGTGCTCCTGAGCCTTTGCATGGAATTCACATCTGAGACATCATAATCGAACACTGGTGAAAAATAATTGAAATGCAAGATGTGCCCAAAGGCCACTTTTTCAGAGTTCTTATCTAATCTGCAATAGATGAACACAGTTGTGAAAAGCCATTTAAATGCTAGCTATGTTCCCAAGCCTTTGCTCAAAGTAGTAAGCTGATGAAACACAGTCGAGCACACTGATTATAAGCCATACAAATGCCTGCATACACCCCGAGCCTTTGCTCAAAATTTTCACCTCAGAAGCCATAATCAAGCACACAGGTGAAGAGCCATACAAGCAGGGGTAGAAGTGCTGCGCCATTGTGTGCCATTCCATTTTTGCTGCACCATCCTCTTCCCAAGCACAAATGTTGCGCCAAAACTATCCAAAAAAGTTTTTTTTAGTTATGAAAGCAGGTGACTTTTTTATGAAAACAGGTGTCGATTGCCCGTTTTAATCTAACGAAAATTATGATTTATTCGAGACCAGGTAAGTAGACAGTGCTCCGTTTTGTGGTCGTATGTTGGTGAGCTGTCAAGTGCCAGCTGCACGTGGGAAACCGCACGAGTTGTTTGTTAAAGTTGTCCGTTCCGTACCAGTGCCGTCGAAGCACTTGTTTGGGTGCGTTGCTTTGTGCCGTCAGTGCCAGAGCTCGGCCAAGATTGCATGTAGGTGTCTGATCTTCGAAAATGGGAACTGCATAGGTGGTTTTGTCAGAAGTACTGAGACTTACTTGCTAGTTTTGTCAGCCACGTTTTTTAACAAACTCCTAAACAAGCTTTTTTTATTCTATTTAGTCATGCTTGTTTTAGTAAGGTCTTAGGCAGTTGTGTATGAGCAGAGAAGATATCATGAAGTTTTCAATATTCTGCATTTGTACTATAATGAGAGATTTGTATTCTGTTGACTTGAGTATAGGAATGCATTTATGTTTGCTAAACAGGACTTGGGGAACATTTGTATCCCCTAGTAATGAAAACTATAGTCAGTTAGCATTTGGCTTAATTTCATCCCATACTATTGCATTTTTGAATGTTTTTGTTTTCAAATTATGGATACTTGTGATTTGGGTTGTTAAATAGGCACGTTTTGTTTTTATGATGCTTAAGCTGTGCTTATTTTGTTGACTATGCCTTCTATTGGAAACCTATAAGAGGAACCAACCCTCTACCAGGACAGTTTTCAAAACCTACCATTTAGATAAATTGCATTTCTGATGTTTGCTTTTTAATGGTAAGGGCTGGATTAGGATTTAAGAAAAGGGTATTTTTGGAAATGGTGCTGTACGTTACATGTAGATGCTTTTTCGTTATGATATTTGTTGTACTTAGAAACAATTTCTGCGCTTATAGACCCAAGTTCGACCTGGGTGACCAGCTCCAGGGTTTACTTTAGCAGCTACGAAACTCTACTTTTGTGGTTCCTGAGCTGCTCCAAAGGGGCATCTTTGCTGCTCTCAGACCTGCTACAAAAGGCTGAAGCTTGCTTTCACCCCTGTACAGGCGTCCCCTAGCCTTGGCTCATTCCGATCTGATCCACCATAAACAAACACAGCTGTGAAAAACCTTATAGTGCGGCTGTGTTTCCATGACTGCTCGGAATTGCAATTTTATGAACCACACCAAAACCTCATAAGTGAAAAGATATATATACAAGTGCAAGCTTTGATCTAAATTTTTGTATCCCTCCGTAACCGAGCGTGCACGGGTGAGAATGATATTTTGATCCGCCACAGTCAAGTGCACTTACACGGAAAGGTTTACGAGACAGCTGCAAGTTTAGCCTTCCATGCTCTGTAACTTGTGGAATCATTTGACTCATGTAGAGATATACACCATTTCAGTTGAAGTGTATAAATGCATGTGGTGCCCTAAACTGACATTAATGCATTGACTTAAAGTACAGCAATCTTCCTATACATTTTATGATGCATCTGTTTTGTGCTGATCTGATCCACCATAAACACAGAGCTGTGAAAAACCTTATAGTATGGCTGTGTCTTTGGATGACGAACCTAAGGGCACTTGCACTAATCAGGTGGCAGGCAATGGCCTTATGCGCTGTCTACTTCTCAGAACGGTTGGTTGCATATCCAGTATGGTTACCATATTAGGTAATTGTGCACACATAGCCAAACTCTTGCATTGCTACCAGCCTTTCATCTGAATGCTACTGTTTGTAATCACACAAATGTGTTGACGAGTAGGAAGCAATTCCTTGCCAGAAGTGATCAAGGGGTTGGTCAGTGTAATGACAAACCTTTAAAATTTTCAATAGATGGAAATAGGTCAGTGTAGCTCATTTTAGGTTTTTTCTCATATGTTTGTTTTTACTCCTGTCTGTTTAAAAGATAGGCACTTGCAGAAAATAAATATGTAAGCAAATTTTCTTTCGATTATCAAAAAACAAAGTCAGTTTTAATTCCTATACTGGCTTTTTTCTGCTTTTGCGATCCTAGTGCCCTAGTGTAGAGTAATTTTTTAGGTTTTAATTTCTTCATGCTGTAGCGTGCCCTTCCATTTTAGCAATCAAGTTGGCTTGGAACCGATTTTTGAATGTGTGTGCACTGCAGTGGTTCGTGCTCCCGATTTGAACCTTGCTCTACTCGGGGATTCGGGGACGCAAAATCGTGAAGCGTTCCACATTTTTTTGCGCTTGTCTTTTCTCTCTTCCCTCTTCTCCGTTCCTTTCTATTTGTGCACAATTTTAATCATGTTCAATCATTACCAACTCGCCCAACTAACCACTTTACTACCGTCAAAGGCACTGGCACGCATTCCCTCTCCAATTTTGAGCACTTATGGAAGTTGTGCGTGCGCTCTCTTCTCTGAAAGTCCAAGAAAAGCTGTCCCCCTAGTATAGTCGTATTCCCACTCCACCAAGCAGGTTTTACAATTGACAGCGTGTCAATTTTTAATACTCCATAATGCTTTTTCACCACTGTGTTGAAGGAGGGATATAGAGAATTGAACTGACTTGAACTCGCCCAAATTGTAAGTGTTCTTGCATCCTTTCCTCCACTGGCACCTTCATAATCATGTATTCATATGACACCTGCTTTGAGATATCGCTCTTGTGTTTAGGTGGTCACAATTTTCTGTTGCTCTGTATTCTTGTTCTTGATAGTTGTTTCCGTGTACCTGTATGTCGGAG